GACCAAATCGGTCTTGATCTCAAAGGCAACCCGTTCTTCCTCGTGCACAGACCACAAGGTCTTATTCTGCATAGACATGTCGTACGCTTCCCACTCCGTTTCATTGAACGTATACATGCTCGAAGCCGTATTATTGTAGGTCACAAGGGGTGATTCTGGAAACCGCACGTCTTGCCGTCTGTGAGGGTCGTCCAGTGAACCCGATTCAACGATACAAGAGAAACTAGCTAACCTCAACCTCCAGAAGACCCTTTCCTTGAAACGCAAGCCTAGTTTATAGCTCTCGGCGTCGGTGCATGGTCCAATTAGTTTGACCTTGACGTCGCCTGCAATAACATCGCCGGCAACCAAGTCAGGTGCTCTCACCCAAGCTCGTCCCCGACACTGAGACAGTAAATCGTCTGGCTGGTTGCATTCTCGAGGGGGCTCGATGAACGCAGCAAAGCTAGTTGCCAAAACAAGCGCGAGAGATAGACAGCGCAGCATTGTTGGGGGCGATATGCATTGGTTCTGCCAGTGGTAATCCTCCCTTTGTATTCAATTTCAGTCCCGATCTGGTCTTCGACGATCACTGGATAGGTGTCAGGGACAAAGTCGCCTGCCAGATGGTACGCATTCAGCTATGGATATTATTAGCCACCAGTAGTACCATTCATCAGCTGTACCTCACAGCTGGCATTCCTGAGGAGCCGTCAAGACTTAACACAGGATGACTCCCACTCAACCGTTTGCCGCCGCCGACAGCTGCCTACCAGTATGTAGTAAGTGGCTGCGGAATTGAGAGTCAGAGTTGATACCGGGTATCCGATCACCTAAGTTCAAAATTTGTTATGACAGCGCTAAGTCGACGTAGTGGCCCGACCAGACTCCGACACCGTCACCAGACCAGAGATGTCATGACATGATGTTTGCAGAAGATCTTGGTCTCAAGCCTTGTTGACATCTATGGGAAGCCTTATATCTGTATGTATATGTCTCTGGTAGTATATCGGATAGTACACCCGCCTGTCATGTCGTAGTCACCACAGGTGCGCGGGAGAGCGGGGTTCGACTCCCCGCCAGAGAGACTTTTTCGAGTCGTTTGTCTTTGTGGCACTCATCGCGCTACATACTTACTTCCAGCTTCATTCTCGTTGCGTAGCAATCGCTTCTCTTGTGAGAAGCACGATGACAATGACTTCGTTTTATTTTTCTTACAATTATACAGAATGTATTTTCATCTCTACCACTCAAAGTCAAGTGAATAACCAGCCGTAACACAATCATCAAGAGCGTCAAATGAAACGACGGTAAGCGGGGCAAGAAATCCTACTGGTGACTGAAGTGGATAACATGCTGAAGGCGGTATGGGGTGTAGCTGTGCGAGTGATGCAAAATTAACAGAGCGATGAACCGGTAAAACAGCGTGATGCAAGCGAGAACAGGGCAAGCAACGATGAAGGGGGAGTCCAGAGTCCAGACGGGTACTGGTGCATTTGCACGGGTCGACAAATCGAGCACGAGCAGACAGCGAGCGGGATGTGCAGAGCACTGAGACGCAACGCGACAGCAACAAGTCAAGCGCACATGTCGAAGAGCATGAAATATAGACGGGTTGCATAAACAGGTGAACAGTTGGCGAAAAAGCCATTTGATAATCATAAAGTCAACACATAATCAACAAAATCAATTGGACAAAAAACGAAGTTGGAATTGGAGGGTGTGATGGTTTAGTTGCACAAAATAAACTTCGGTCATGATGCTCGTGTGATGAATATGATGCACGCGGAGATAGATGGTGCGGGTGTCCGTGGGGTGGATATGCTTTGGAGTGATGGGTAGCCGTGATAAATATTGAGAAAAGACGGGAGACCATGTGCGTTGTTGGGCTTATGAGTTTTCATCCTTGACCTCTTCGCCACCTGCTGCTGCTTGCCGCTCGCTTTCTGCCCGGTTCTTTGAATGAATGGCTGGCAGTTCCGTTGCAAGGGACACCTGCTCGCCCTCTTCCCACCGCTCCAGAGCCCACTCTCGCACCAGTATACTCACCTGCGTGATAACGTGATCAGCCATTATACATGCACAGCCCATTAAGTCACACCTTCATGAACCGCTTGCCAGCGTATTTTTTGTAAAATGATTCATGACGGATAGGTTTGAGAATGTAGTTTAGCATCAGGTTGGCGGTGGGAATTAGGGAGCTTTCCGCATACGACGAGTAGTGGGCAAGGTTAGCGGACTAGGATCAGATAATGTTATCAGCGCGATTGAGATGAGCTGACACCCGACATACCCATTTATCATTACCAAGGATGAGGCGTGACAGCCAAATCGCCGCAGCCGCTACCAGCGATGGTGGCGTGGCCAGTAAACGCCATTCCAGGGTGCCCACTTCTAGTAGATACTTCCCCATGGTCCTCGATTTAATATCGTAATCATCCGCCTTGCTTATACGCCGCAGGAAGTGCATTGGGTTTGGAAAGCTCAAGTTCCAGTCTATCGTTTTCAGGACGTAACGCTCTGCGAGTAGAATCTCGGATTCGGTGTACGATGAATCCGCGCAGTGAAGGAAGTGCGAAACGGAAGGTGCGACAATCTCTTCGACCTTCGAAGAGATGAAGAGGCACGTAATACCAACGAGCTGCAGTTTGGCCAGAGAGACGACCCGGGCAGACAAGAATCGGTCGATTATGTTCACGCAGAGAAATAGCGTCTCGGGCAATAATCGGAACCGTGCGTGGACTTGAACTAGCCAATCGAGGAGGATCCCGCGCATCGACCAGGCCAGCTCTTTTTGCGATGCCATGTATTCCGGATTCGGAAGCGTAGCGAGCTAAGGATGGAGCATTAATTTATGCAAGATGATAAAACGTTAGGACTCGAACCTCGGTCTGCTTCATGTACTTGAAGATTTCAACAACGTACTCGCTGACCATCAATGGATCCTCGGAATCCTCGGCGTCAAGATCATCCCACTCATCACCCTCGGGATCAGCTTCAGGTAAACCATCGGCGTCAAGTACCGCCGCCACTTCCGCCTCATGCTGGGCTAGCTCGTCCACATCGGTCTCTGGAGCGTCAGAAGATGTTCGCCGCTTCTTGGACGCACGATCATCTTGAACATCGTCTTGTGCCTCCTTCATGACAAGGTGCGACGAGGTCCGTCGAGCAACCTGAACACGTTGCACCTCTTGGGTAATCACCTTATGACTGTTCGCGCCCGACCTGCGGGTGGAAATGCGTCGCGAGGGCTCAGCGACCAGGGGTTGCTCATCCACAGCCATTGCATCGTCATTAGTGGCTACTTGTTCCTCCTTGACGTCTTCCAAGAGTTTTACCTCTGAAGCTATGGCAGATCTGGTAGTACGACGAGTGGACACAGGCGCAGTGGTGGTGGCATGCTTGGCAGGAAATGCTCTAAGAGGCTGTCTTGAAGAAATGGGCTTCGCTTTGATCACTACACCGTCGAACGTTTCTTTGGTGGTTGGGACAACTTCCTTGCCTTTGCCCTTTCCGTCCTTAGCATCTGTGGCAGAGGCTTTGTTCTTATTGATGTTCTTGGTTGTGACCTCGCCAAGAGCCTCCCGTTTCCGCTTGCCTTGGAGAGTAGGATCGACCTTCTCGTCAGCCGCCCCGATTTTTGCGCGGGAGGCGGCAGTAGCGCCCAAGGCCCTGGATTGGAGCGGGGCAGTGGTGGCTGTAGCTGTAGCGGCGGAGGTGGAGGGGGGCTTCGCACGAGAGATAAGACGAGACGGGCGGGCATTCGCATTTTCGTTGTCTTTCTGGACCGCCGTTCGAGTGACTCGCGTTACACGGCGAGTCTGTCAGATCGATTAGCCACAGGATCAGGAATAAATCCAAAGGAGTTGGAAGCTCACGGGCAAGTTGGAAGACATGAAGTATCTATTGTACGCTGGATGGATTATTTGATGCGTGTAATAGATGGGTGAAATCGAGAACGAGAACGAGAGCGAACGGGTTGAAAGAGCGAGTAGATGGACAAACTACTTGAACTAATCCGGAAAAGGCCATTTTAAATTTCAACCATCCACACAAAACACTAACAAACAAGCGCGTCCGCGTTTCGTCACGTGCACAAATGCCATTGTGCACGGCCACGAGTCACGACTTCATTTATTCACCTCGTCACCGCGTTCATAATCAGTGGATAGAACATAGACCGTGCCAAACTGTGGTAGAATAGATATCTAGCATTGATGACAGAGATCATGAATCACCTCGTGGGGTCCGCATGTTGTACTTATTACGCTGTTGCTTTTATGCAATCAGATTCTCATCGATGCGCTGGCTTATTGCGTGCGAAGCTGCGTGGTTGTTGTACATAACCCGATAATCATTCTGTAGACACTGGATAGCGACCCTTTGAATGTCGGTCCCTTGCACGGACTTAGCCTCAAGTGCAGTATTACTACAGGCCGCGAGAGTAGAATGCATAATGGTCCTGCAACTGTTTCCGAAGTTCTACGTACCCTATTGGAACCAGCCTAAATCTTTTTTCCAGAGAGTTCAGTCGGGGATACCACGAGTCCCCGAGAAACTGAACTACCTATATACTTCCCGTGCCCTAGACAAGTTGAAGGGCAATCGTGAAATACAGGTACAATGATGCTCGAGTAAATATTTTCACCTCGCCAAAATCAGTCAGATCCTCAAAGGAAACCCAAGCCAAACACTGCAGGTACCGAAACCAGGACCGCCGCAAACCACAGGGAACGCATGCAATCAAAACACACCCGGAAGTCTAACACAGAAGTCGAAGCGCACAATTACGATCCAAAGAAAATTTCCGTCTGGGGAGTGCATCGTCGAAGAGGACATTGACTGAGAAACACAAGTCACGAGAGGACAATGGCTGACACAATCGATAAGGGTAATATATACCGGCATGCATACGCAAGGATCCGTGCCCCCCGAGAGGTGGGTTTAGTGAAACGCAAGGCTACAAGCATTGTCAAGGGATACAGCAATCCTGTATGAGAAAGTAAACTTCAGTACCAAGTTCACGAGAGCCAGAAGATGACTACGAACGTGAAGTAAAAACCTCACCTGCTGCTACCCCCCTGGATTTTTCCAATCTCCTTCGTTATGGTAAGAGTTCAGTGTAATTCTGGGGCCACTTCTTCATTCTGCTGGTCAAAATTGTGACTGGCGGATGATCTTTATGTTGGTGTTCGATGCTCATCGATGTCGCGGGCGCTCGGATGAGTATGCATCAAGTCTGACACCAACTGGTATCCCTAAGCTTCATGATTTTCGCGACAGACTCGTAGATGTGCTAGCTGGGATTATCCTGCATGCATGCGGAAATGGTTGAGCGAAGGGGTCTCAGCAGCCGCTGCAAATAGGCGATTGAGCGTTGTTTAGATCGGAAGCTGTTGTCAACTTGTCAAACAACCCAGTATTACTAGTGCTGTATTACCACCACCGACCACTGCAGCAGCTCGGTCGTAAAGTCAGCCATGGAACAACAAGGTGTCGGACTATGTAGCATCATGAAGATTGACCCGGGTGACCATGTCTCCATCCCTTGTTCGGACTTCGGAGATGCTGTGCCAGTGTACCGTAATAAAGACCGTCAATCTACAAAGATAGCTTACCGTCATTATTTGATAGATATTTATCTCATCAATTCCATTATGTAGACGCAGCGTCGCGAGACGAGCCTGCCAGGGTCCAATCAGGACATGTACCGCGTGATAAAATATATTGTGTATATGTAGGCTAGGGATCCGAGTCTGCAGAAACGGTGTCACCATGGGCGGCGCCGCCATTCCCAAGCAGCCCTAACCTTCATAAACGGTATGTAAAGCTGCTTCGCTTATTTGATGTGCTACAGCCTGGGCTGGCAGCGATGGCATGTCCATTGTCGATCTACTTCTGTTTCTCTTTCATTCTTTCTCTTTGAATGCCTTGAATCTCATCGATGCATCCACTACTCTTGAGTGCAAGCCTGATTGGTGGATGCGTCACGTCATGCGCATCGGGAATTGTATCCAAGGTGAGTGCTTTGCGCAGTTTAATGTTTACTGCAGAGTTATTGGCAACTTAGCAAGCTTTCACTGTGCC